TGTAATTAACTATAGGGACTTGCCCTTATAGGAAGTTTTTCCGAACCCAGCCTAAAATAAACCTTATTTAATTCTTTGTATTAAATAGGAGAACTTGTCGGCAAATAAAATAATTTTCGCAGACCAAACGGACGTCATATATTTCTTAGTTTATTTGATCGAGTCTCATCCTCAAGTCTTGTGTTTATCCCTCAGGATAGATACACGATTTGATGTAGAACGCTCTTTCATTTAAACTGTGAAAAATATTAAGTCAGCTTGATTTCATATTTTTTTTAAAACTATATATATATATATATATATGTGTGTGTGTGTGTGTGTGTGTAAATTAAAACGTCTTTCCGAAGCGGGGAACGGGATTTCAATTCTGGTGACCGACAGCTTCTTACGGGCAAACCTCCTCAACCTTACTTCCTTTTCTTTTTAACGCCGACACTTATTTGACACTACACCCGGGTATCGGTGTAACAAACGTTGCATAATTTTCATTGTATTCAAGATATCGAGGACATCTTTTCCAGGAGACACCCTAGCATTTACACAAGGATCTAAAAGTTTCATGTCATGTTTTTTTGACAACTTTTACACTGGATGTCAAATACCTAACACAACCCTCAACTTTTCGCATCTGAGGCTTGCGACCAATTTTACCCTTGCACACTTTTCATTTGTATCCACAATAGCTATAAATAAAAATCTCTAATATAAGCAACAGACTTAACATAGCCTAAGAGAAAAGCTAGATTTCCATCCTTTCATACGTACAAGCATTCCAGAACAAATGCTTCGTTCTCCTTGCATACACGAAGAATGATAGCAGAAAAACACTTTAAAAACATAGCAAAAAATTTTCAAGGGAAGAATGCAGCAAATGACATAAAAAAATTAACCCTATTTAATGTCAACCATATCGAACTCAATCCTCAATTGTGTCTGAACTCAATATCTTCATCCTGGAAAAATGAGAATCTCCTTTTCCGAAGTTTAACGTACTTTGGAGACTACAGCTTTTATAGATTTGTCATAGTAAAAGTAGATTATTTGAAAGCTATTGTAAATTTCAAATTTTTTTATTAAAAAAGCTGTTATTGCGGGTATCAAATAATGACATTCTTAAAATTACAGCACTAGCAGATCTGTTTGTAAAATGCTACCTTTTACCACAAAATTTCAGAAAAATGAAAAAAAAAAAAAAAGCTGCAATCAAAACAAAAGTGTGGCGTATGTCTGGTACACATAGCTGTGAAATAATTGCACCAAACAGGCCGTTGAGGATGACAGTGAAAACTAACAAGGCTAACAAAAATACTATAAAACCTAATATTTAATAGAGTACAAAAATCATGTGGTTTCTGTTTGGTTTAACGGCCCCTTGAAAGCTCTAAAATCACTTTGCCCTGAACTTCTAAAAAAATAAGCAAGGAATACAATGAAAAATTCACTGTGGTAAAATAAAAGCAACAAGAAATTATACTTGACCAAAAATAATTTTCATATAAAAATAATGGTTGTACCATTGATCATATGGTAAAGTTCAGATCAACAATCTTACAACATAAACTCATCACATACCCAGTTTATTACATGTGTCAAGGGATGAGTACACTCTTTTAGAATTATTGGACGTAATCAAGTTTTCTTCAAGTTGGTAACTTGTGAAAGGTGGCCCATAATTACATTGGCAAACTTAGTGAAGTATGCAGCAATAATTCACAATTTCCATCATTAAAAATACAGTATAAATAAGACATTATTCTTCAAAAGGCAGAGCTGCTCAACTTAAGCATTGTGGTTGAGTTCAAATCAACTAGTTTTTAACAGGACCTCGATTGCCTAACAAGTGCAGTAGACAAGTTGAATAAATAATCTTTCAGCTAATGAGTCAATATTATTCACCTTTAGGTTAATGAGTAACATAGAGGCAAACTTGTCCCATTATTGGTTGATAGGTTTGACTAACTTGGTAGATAGCATTATAATAAATTAATATATCATTTTGAAATCAACCCCACAAACATTTTCCTACACGAAATTTGTGTCATCCCAAATTCATAGCTCAACATGGCCCCACTAAAATTTATTAGTTCAAACAAAGATGAACTTGAACTTTGATCAAACCATATGACCCATGCACATAACAAATAACTATAGTTCATATCAACACTGTGCAAGTGACCGACACACGAAGTATGGTACATGAATACATTATCCAGAAAAGTTGCAAAAGAAGGCACGTATAAGAAATCACTAAATTAAAAGGATAGTCTCCACAAAAGAATTTTGCTAAGTAAAAAGCATATGGTGGTCTGGCCTAGTCTGGCTGCCTAAAAACTATCTAGGAAAATGACGTAGATAATATTAGTTTAAACTAGTTTAAAAATTAATTACGACTAGATCAATCCTTAGGGCTGAATTTTGCACATGCATTCTTGATTTTCCCGTAAACCAATCGTGAAACAGGACCACAACAAAACCATATTAGAAAGTATTGTTCTAACCTATTATTGCAGAATAGATTTTGTTGAAAAGTAATATTTCAGCCTCTCCAATCAAAAGCTTGTGCAACAGTATAAGATTGAACAAAAATTAAGAAACTTTGTCAATCATACTTAACCTCAAGCACATAAATAGCAATCTTGATGACAAAACGAGATGAAAATAGCATTTACACAAGAAAATAGGATGAAAATATAGGGAAACAATTTAGGGTTCGACACAGTTTTCTGTCGGTTTTGCATTTCAGACCGCCACAATA